AGACTATCCAGCTTGGACGCTCGGTTCTGTGTGAGTGGTAGTAGAGCGACCTGGATTGCTGCAGCGAGATCGACAGCTAGGATATGAGCTGGTGGTGCTCCTGTGGGTGGTGGACTTGTGGTGGTAGTGATGATGGGGTTGCCGTGCTCATCGAGAGCGGGTGGTTTGTTGTGAGTGGTGTTATCCTGCTCGTTGTTGAGGATGGGGTTGCTGTCGTCGGGAAAACTCATCGCTTTGGTTCTTGTGTTGCTAGTTCTCAAGAATTTATTCTCCTAGTCCCCATAGTCGACGCCAATTGTTGAACCAAAAAATCACCAATAGGTTTAAATGATTAACAGTTATGGGTTTGGAGAATAAGATCTTTATTAAAAGTTCAAAGGCAAAGTGATTACAGAAGATGGCGTAACCTAGAGATTATGACGAAGTTAAAGAAAGTAATAAAGCTATAAACTAGAAAGCTTGGAATTTTTTAGATATTCTTCTGCTGCTTGCTAAAATGTATGAGTTGATCTTTAAATTATCCGGCATATTTTATTTACAGGATTAAGAAGTCGGCTATGACGAACTCCTTTTCCTTTTTTATTTTGGGATAGTTCCTATATTTTGAATATAAAAATATTTTTTTTTTCTAATTCTGTAAAAATCTTTTATTATTTTCAATTTTCTTTTTCAAACCGACATAATAATTCTTGTTTTGATAAACTTAGTTTATTGCTACAAAAAATATTTTAGAAAATATATTCATTTCTTTTCTAACAATAACGAAACTCAAAATTAAGGAGAAAAATTATTTTAGAAACAAGAAAGAGGAGGGGCCGTAATATTTGAACGACCCGTTGACATGACCAACACGTGACATGTCTTAACATCTAACTAAAGATTCTAAAAAACGTAGCCTCTTTTTTTTCTTTTCTTTTAGATAACATAAACTTAGTGCGGAATGTAAAACTATTTTTAAACTTAGAAAATATTTTCTCATTGAAAAAAATAATAGTAATAATATTTGTTCTTATATATTTACATAACAAATGCTTCATTTTGTTTGAATCAGTTAAAAGAAAAAGTTACATCTATTAGGAATTAGGTAAATATTAATGGGACATGCACCTTAATCTCTATCTAATGTTGGAAAAATATCTTATATCGAAAGTTTAGAGAAAACTATAAAAGATTTGTGACAATTTATTTACTTATATATACTATTAAAAGAGAATCCTATTTTTAAATTAATCTTTAGTTAATGTTTTATTTATAATATATGCCATTAAATTTCTATAGATTTATTAAAGATAATTTAATCTTATCATTAAACTGTTACTAAATACATTAAATTAAATTATATTAATTTGTTAACAGATCATACCAATAAATCATATCTGATACTAATAAAATTCAAATTAATTTACTTTTAAAATTATTTTAAAATCTTTCATAACATCTTAACATATAACCACATATATATGACATGAATAACTAATATAATTATATATATTATATGACAAATTATATATACTATATTATAATTAATTTTTTCTCTATAGTATTAAAAGAAAAGCACTACATTAAAAAAATTTAAATTTATTATAGTTTTTACTAAATGTGACAATTTATAGTCAGTGATGAATATATAATCATTATTTTTTGTTACATATATACATACTATGAAAAAAAATTATGTAAATAATTTAGTTTTTCTGGTTTGTTAAAGATTTTTTTGCGGGAAATTATGAGTTTGCGGATTTGACAAACACAATTTTTTTTGTAGATTTTACGGGTTTTATAAATTTTAGCAGAGTTTTATAATTTTAGCAGAAAATATAGTTTTCCGAGAAAATGTTGGTTTGACAACAAATGTGCTTTTGTAGATTTAGCGGAAACACATAATTTTTGAAATTTGGTCGTAAATCACGATTTTGCAGATTTTACGGGTTAATGGGAAAATACGGGTTTACGAAATGCGAATAACGCAATTTTGCGGATTTTATGAGTTTTACAGGTTTTAGCGAGAAAATGCGGGGTTGTGAGTTTGACAGAAATACATGAGTTTAGAAATTTGGTCATAAAACACAATTTTATGGATTTTATAAAATTATGAAAAAACACGAGTTTTTGTGGATTTGGCGGGAAATGTGATTTTGCGGATTTTACGAGGTTTACATGTTTTTGCGGGTTTTATAGGTTTTGATGGAAAATGTGGTTTTATGAATTTTACTGAAAATGCAGGTTTGCGGGTTTGACGACAAAATGCAATTTTGCAAGTTTGACAAACACTACTTAATTTTAGAAATTTAGCCATAGAATACAATTTTATGATGTTGGGGAAAGCATAATTTTTGGTTTTGTTAAAAAATGTGGGTTTATACTTTTGGCAGGAAAATACGGTTTAATTGAAAATGCTATTTTTACAGTTTCTACCAGAATTTTTGGTTTTTGTATAACAATGTGATTTTATGATTTTGCGGAAAAATATGACTTTTTATTTCGATAGAAAAATGGTTTTGACAAAAAAAAAAATTTGATTTTGTGGTTTAAATTAAATAATATTTTTATTTGTTAATTTTCGAGATTCAAATGCTGCATCAAATCTCTATTTTTTAGCATTTTAAATATCCAAATTTTGAGATATTATAGAATTTGTATTCAGATAAAATATTTATATACTGATTTAAAAATATTTAAATGAACAATATTTGAGAGTATTTGCATCCAAATAAGTATCTGGAGGCAAAAACAAACAAAACCTAAGAATCTTAATTACAAACAAATAAAATCTCTCTTGCATTATAAAACATAATATTTTAAAATATTTGTTACTAAAATTAACAAAAAAATCCGCTAATCAAAATATTTTCTTTTTATAAAATCAAGCCTAAATAATTTTAAGAACATAAAACCATAATGTTAAAATAGTTTATATACTCTAATAAAAAAATTTTCGTTTGGCCACAATTTTAGATTTAATAATATAAGCTAGTTTTTCTTTTGAACAAACAATTACTATAAACCGATTTTTGCTATGACCCAAAAATATTTTATAAAAAGAAACCAGCGCAAGTGCGCGGATCCAAAATCTAGTTGCTAATATTAGAGATTATATAGAGAATAATGGGTCATATGTATTAATTTCTATAGAAAGAGTGAAAAATATATAATACCAAAAGTTTAGAGGAATCTTGATTGTTTATACTTCTCAAAGTCTCTATAAAATTTTAAATGTATGATATTTTTTATAGCTAACCTACATACAATGGGAAAAAAATCATTTAAATGCTGAACTTTCAAATTTTTGCTATTCTAAGCATCATTTTTCGTATGATCTATTTAAATAACAATTTTTTTGTTGACCGATGTTAAAATCATAAATTTATATTGACTCGGCCATTTTGGGTACGACGTTAACATCACTAACAGAATGACTAAACTTAGTTTGGTCAATGTCTGTTAGTGAATTCAATGTCATGCCTAATATGGCCAGTCAACATAAGTTTGTGATTTAAAAGATAATTGATATAAAAATTTATGATTTAAACTGTCCACGTAAAACTTGATGCTTATAATGGCTGAAATTTATAAGTTTGGTATTTAAATGACATTTTTTTTATTAAACGGTAACTTTTATTTTTAATTAAAAAAAACATTTCAAACTTAAGATTATACAATGTGAAAGATTAAGAAAGGTTTTTGAAGTTTGTAATTAGCAATAAAACTGATGAAAAAGTAGTTTAAAATTAACCTATTGAGGTTTTTTAAGTTAAACTCAATCTTTTCATTTTTTGATGTTTTGGTGTAATGTAAGTTTAATTTACATTTAAATCTATTTTTTAATTAGTTTAGATTTACTTGGTTTTGCAGTTATGTAAACTGATGAAATTGAAGTTCAGTTAGTAGAAAGAAGAGAAAAATGTCATTTAATACCAAATTTTTAAATCTCGGCCATTATAACCATTTAAATTTTGCATGGACAGTTCAAATAACAAACTTTTGTATGGATTATCTTTTAAATCACAAACTTATGTTGAGTAGTTATATTAGACATGATATTAAATTCATTAACAAATATTGACCAAACGGCGTTTAGTCAATCTATTAGTAATGTTAACACTGTGCCTAAAATGGCCGAGTCAACATCAGTTTGTGATTTTAACATTGGTCAACGAAAAGTTTGTTATTTAAATGGATCACACGAAAAATAATGCTTACAATGACTGAAATTTGAAAGTTTAGCATTTAAATGACATTTTTTTCTATATACAACCCAATTTTTAATAAATAAAAAAGACAAAATAAAAAAGAAAGAGAAATAGAAAAACGTATCTCGGTTAAGATAGGTTTCTAAACATATCTATGTAAATGTCATGCTCAGTTTAATTTTTTATATTAATAAAATATATTTTAGATATTCTGTTTTAGATACGCACTGTTAAAAATGTTTTTATACTTCTCAAAGTCTCTTTCAATCTTTAGATGTGTGATTTTTCTCACACACTCTCTACATATCAAGGTTTATAGCCCATTCATTTGATCTAATCCTTATTATTGTTGTATTTTATTTGATAGAAAATCTGAGAAATCATAAATGTAATGCAGATTTTTAACAAATAGCATATTAAATCTTATAATAATACTCTATTTTATATTATTTTGTAACATTATATATCAAAATCATTTATATATGTTATATCGTTTCAATGCTTAATCTCATGTTTTTATGTTAACCGATTTGAATTATTTCGACATATCATGCAGACTATATTTTATATTTGTGATCTTGAAAACTTTTATTACTTTGCCCAAAAAAATAAATAAAGGAAGACTTTAATCACTTGGATAACTAGCTAGTATAACAATTGAGTTCTACCACTCCCATTTTGATTGGCACCAATTCTTTGTTTTTGGATTCAATGTGAAGTTATTTATTTTAGAGCGTAAGAATTAATTCACCAAGTTACATCGCTAGTAGTTCATACATTTGAACCGATAAATGATTAGCCTTGAGAGAATCAAAGATCAAGCTTAACCGGGTATTTGGCAACGCAATGTTCCCAAGGACTCTTAACCGAAGACTTGACATTGCTTAGAGCCACCCAAACCGCACTGTTACACTTAAAACCTGATCCTAAAGCAATCTGCCAAACTTTGTTCCCTTTCTTCATCCTACATTTAGCCTCTGTGTAAGCTAACTCATACCAAATAGAGCTCGAAGAAGTGTTACCGAACCTATGCAAAGTTGATCTCGATGGTTCCACGTCCATTGGCGACAGCCCCAAGTTCTTCTCAAGCTCATCGATCAAAGCTCTCCCACCCGGGTGGATGCAGAAATGGTCAATGGCACGCTTGTAATTCGGGACATAATGCTTGATCTTGTCGTCAAAGAATTTCTTGCGCATATAAGTCCTAAAAAAAAGAAGCTTTTCGCTCACGGGAAGAACCAAAGGACCTAAAGTGGCGATGTTTTTAGTAATGGTTCTTGCAGCGACAGACGTTATATCTTTGGTCAATGAGACTCCGGTTTTGCCCTTCTCATCGTCTTCTTGCTGCACACATCTAAACGATTTGTCATCCGCTCCGGTATGAGTACGAACCGTGTGGAGCAGCTTGTACTTGGAACGTCTTCGGTCTCCCGACTTGTTAGAGAGCAAGATCGCGGCTCCTCCGACACGGAACAAGCAGTTGGAGACAAGCATAGATCTGTTATCACCTATGTACATGTTGCGGCTGATGTTCTCTGTGCTCACCACAAGTGCATAAGTGTTCTTGTGAACTTGCAACAAGTCCTTAGCGAGATCGATGGCTATAACACCCGCGCTACACCCCATACCACCAAGATTGAAGCTTTTAATGTTGCTTCTAAGCTTGTACCTGTTCACCACCATCGCTGAGAGCGAAGGAGTCGGGTTAAACGTACTCGAGTTCACGATGATTATACCAATATCTCGTGGGTTGACTTTGGTGTTGGCTAAGAGATTGTCAATGGCGTCGAAGATGACATTTTCTGTCTCCTCGCGTGCAACCGCCATGGTTTGAAGAGGTGGCACATTGAAAAGGGCTTCCGGTGCGCAAGTCTCGTCTCCAAGACCGGAACGTTCTAGAACCTTAACAAAGAAGTCCAATGATGATTCAGCAGCAAGTGAACTCATAGACGGATCTGCTTCACGATTCTTGTTGACACTATCTATGATCTTTTGGACTGTGACCTTTTGACTCGGAGGAGGTAGATGGCAGGAGTAGTCAACGAGGTAAACGGGCCTAGGCTGTGTCACGAAGTAAACGATTGACCCGAGAGTGAGAACAACGGAGAGAATGATTAGGGTTAGGAGGTTGTGTTGGAGATGGAACCATAGATTGTGGAAATCTTCTTGGTTAAGGCTTGATGCTTTAATGGCTACAAGTGCCATTATCGGGAGCAAGCAGAGCTTGAAAAAGTGGGGTATGAGGTAATGATAAAGAAGCTTTGCGTCAGCCATTGGTAAAGAGTACGTATTCTCTTTCTAGCTCACCTCTCTTTAATTTTTGTTCTCTCCTCATGCAAATATTTATAGTGGCGTCAACAATTCTCATGCATTGAAATACATGCAAATATTATATATATGTTCATATATGTGAACTGTATCACATGTTAAGGAATCTTGAAATATAATTTACTCTTCCAGAAACGTAATCAAGGGCTATTGCGAAAAAAAAAAAAAAAAAACGTAATCAAGGATGTATTCAGAAAATTAACGTAATATAGGATGTACAAATGACTTCTAAAGAAATATAAATATACTTAGAATTTCTAAAGCCAGACATTACTCATGTGGTTTTGTTTTTATTGGATAATAAATAAATAAGAAACAACCTCAACATTCTCAAATAATGCCTAACGATTTTGTGCTGTGTAAAACACACAATGGTGTAAGTGGAAGAAAAATTAAATTGAGAGTTTTATACCCAGTTTCACATGTTCCTACGCTGTTTTTTCTTGCATGATAAGTTCCCCAAAAACACTCCAATCTCATAAAATTGATATTGAAAACCTATAAATTTTTTTCTTATTTGTCAAGAAATTTGGCTCAGAGAAGTTGTATCATCAATATCATAAAACCAAATCTTTAAGGACCTATTTCTCTTTTTTCAAAACCAAACAAAAAACACCTATTCCTTTTCTTATTTATCAAATAGATTTAAGTTTAGACTACCACGTTCGTTTTCTGTTTGTATATCCATTGAAGAAAATTATGAAAATGACCTATTTTTATGATTTTTATAAATATCAACGCTACCATTCTAATTACTGTTATTTATAGACTAATGGCAGATTAATGACAGACTGAATGCAGACTATTGACAGATTACTGGCAGATTGTTTGGTCAAATAATTGAATGTAGGCTACTGAAAGACTAATGCTAGACTAATTGCAAATTACTGGCAGATTAACAACATATTGAAAGCAAACTAGTGGATCTCTCTTATAAGGTCATTTTAGAAAGGGTTATAATAAAATTGTCAAGTAGGTTATTTAAAAAATTACCCCATTTTTTCTTCTTTTGGGAAGTTGTGTACTCATCTTTTGGGAAGCTGTGTACTCACCTGTTGGGAAGTTGTGTACTCATCTTTTAACTCTTATAGTGGCGTTAACTCTTCTCGAGATCGATTACATGGTCTCCGTGTCCATTAAAAATTCTGAATAATTTGTAAAAAAATTAAAATGTAGTTCAAATACATTAGATATACTATCCATACACCAATAGAAAACGATATTTAAAGAAAATGATAAGGTATTTACTATAAGATAATGGTGGATTAGCGTCAATTTTGGCCTAGGAACATAGACGCCTTTGCGACGACTTTGTAGTTTGTCATGAAATAACTCATCGTAGTAAACTAGCAATGAAATTTTTTGAAGTAAACTTGACTTAAGCTAAGGTGTGAATTACAACGGGTGTTAAGTTATATTTCGCGGACAATTCAATGGCTGCTTCTCGGTTTAAATGCTTCCGGGTATGTGAAGGATAATTACATTGCATTGCATGTGTTCATTAAAATAAAGGGGGAATTGCTGAAAGTAACCTAAAAATTGGATTTTTCAAGAAGTCTAGACCTTGTATTGAATGTTTGCAAACTAATCTAAAGGGATAGTGAAATTACAGCTCAATCCTTTATAAGTTAATAAAAAACATCTGCCACAATTACGATTTTATCACTGGGAAGTCTACTATTTTATAGTTTAGGGTAAACAGACTTATGCAGTAGACTTCTCGGGTTGACTTCTCTAGTAGACTTCTGTAGTAGACTTAAAAAAATGTAGCGGGAAATTGAAATTATTTAACAAATTAGGCGGAAATCGAAATAAAAAAACATACTAAAGTAGACTTTCCAATAGACTTCGGTTACGAAGTCCACTTAACCGAAAATTCTCCTACATATATAAGGAGAGTTTAACCTAATTGTGTTAAAAATAAAGTTTTTCTCTCCCTCTAAAAAATGCCTCTCTCTCCTCTACCTCCTCTTTGGCGATGAATCTCTTCTCCTTCCTCTCTTGCCATCAATCTCATCTCCATCCTCCTTCCTCTCTATCTTGATATGGTAGTGGTAAGAAAATCTGAGGTTTTGTGTTTCTTTTGTTGTTTGCTTTGTGTTCATATTGTAAATCTGAGCTTATTATTACACATTTGAGCCTATTATTGTAGATCTGAGTTTATTTTTGCAAATATGCGCTTATTGTTGTATAATTTTTGTAGAATTTATTGCAGATCTGATTTTTTTTTTTGCAGATCTGAATTTTGTTTTTTGTTTTGTTGCAGATCTGTTTTTTGTTGTTGTTGTTGCAGATCTGAATTTTGTTTATTTTGTCGCTAATCTGAATTTTGTTTATTTTGTTGCAGATCTGGAATTTTTTGTTCATTGCAGAGCTGAGTTTTTTTTTTATTATTTTGTTGTAGATATGATGTTTGTAAATATAGCAGATTTTGTTATCTGAATTTTAATTTCTTTTTTCTTATTGTGCAGATCTGAGCTTATTTATTTCTCTTTTGGTTTTGTTAGAAGCAGACTTCAGCTTCAGACTTCTCTAGCAGACTTCAGTCACATACATCTATTTCAGACATTGTTTTTATATGCCAATTTTAAGATTTATAATCAATGACCCTTAAATGTTTCTTGTTTGTTTAGAAGGTCTATTTTATAGGAAATGTTAGATTGCATTGAATGTTATTGATCATATTCTTAAATTATGTATGTTTATCATATTCAGATTTCATATGCAGCCTTCTTTGTCAGACTTTATATGTAGACTTTTCGATTAGACTTCTCTAGTAGACTTCGCAAATATACTTATATTACATAGAGCAATTTCTATAATTACACTGAAAATAAGTTTTCAGGACAAATATAACAGGGAAGCTAAAATTTTTCCACCCCTAACATTTTTCATTTGAGTTTTCCGATTTTATCCTTTAGGAAAGTCTTCCTAAATATTTTTTTCTATTAATGTTGTGTGATTTTTTTAGGAAAAGTCTTCCAAATACTAGAATTTAACATCGTTTCATATGGTTTAGGAAAGTTTTCTTAATTTTTTAAAAAAATCTGAATTGTGGAAAGACTTCCTTAATTGTGGAAGGGTTTCCTGAATTGTGGAAAGACTTCCTGGAAGGGTTTTTTGAATTTGAGTTGTATAAATTAACAAAAATAATAATCAATTATACGATTTACGAAGACATTCATAAATACATGTAATGACTTCCTTAATTTATACATTTTAGAAAAGTCTTCCTAAAATTTTAGATTATCTTCCTAAATTTATGTTCATCTCCTTCCTCACCTCTGCGATATCCAAACCCTAATTTCCGCTGATTTCTTTTTTTTTCACCATTGTTGTTGTTTTAGTTCGGATTTTTGAGTTTTTCACTCAATTATATCAGAACCATCTATCATTATATGATTTTAAGCTTTAAATCCTGAAATCACTTTCCCATTAAAAAACTCCAAAGATCTAAGAGATTCACAATCACAAATCACAATCAAATGAGAAGAGAGATCCTAAACAAAATAAATAATTCGAAATTTCAGATCAGTCTTGGCCATTGATACATTTGTTTGTACATTATTTTTCTTCTCTTTTTATTAACTAATGTTTTGTCTAACTAAGATTAATATGGTACAAAATGTTATGGAAGAAATTTTTTAGAGTGTTAGCATATATATGGAACAAAAACGTAGATTAGGTGTATTTGAGGGAATTTATATGGTTGTTTATCTCAATAGATTTATAGTACATAATAGATTTCTTACATAGACTTATGTAGTAAACTTCTTACTTAGACTTGTTCCTTGACATTTACTCAGTCATCACCAAACTTCTTCCTTGACATCTTACTTAGCCATCACCATCTTTGAACCTCGAATAATACAAGAAAATTATTTCAATTTTAACTATACAAAAAAACATGTAAAACTTATAACAGAAAAACATGTAAAACTAAGAAATGCCAGAACAAGCTTTTTTTCACCCATTCTCCAAAAACAGTGGGTCTGTGAACCATTCTTTGTAAGAAAAAAAAATTCAAACCACATTAAAAATCATTGTCGAAGAAGTAAACTGCAAACGAAGTCTACTATGTAGACTTCAAATGAAGTCTGCGGACTAATACGCTAAATACCAAATAAAAGAAGAAAATTAATTAAAGATAACTGTAAAAAAATGTCAAACTCATGCATAAGCAAGAACAATAAATATCACACACTTAAGAGTTAAATAATAATTTTTTTTGTTACAAATATCTGATCAATTAATTTTATAAAAAATTTATGTCGCAGACTGCAAACAAAGTCTACTATGTAGACTTCAAACAAAGTCTACTATGTAGACTTCAAGTGAAGTCGACAGACTAATAAGCTAAATACCAAATAGAACAAGAAAATTAATTAAAGCTAAACTTAACACAAATTAATATCGCAGACTGCAAACGAAGTCTACTATGTAGACTTCAAGTGAAGTCTATGTTCTAAGAAGCTAAATACCAAATAGAATAAGAAACTTGATTTCACCAAATATTTATAATATAAACATGTAAAGCTGATACAGATGTAAATACACTTACTAAAACAATCGTAATACCAAGAAAATCTTAAAATTTCGCTGTAAATTTGATAAAAAATACGTCTATATAAAAGTGAAATAGTAGATTAACAACGAAGTTTACAAAAGTAGACTAACAACAAAGTCTGTAGACTTTGTATGAAGTCTAAATTCTAGGTTACTTTTGCAATTGGCAAAAGATGAGTTGCTCACTCCGAGAAGTCTATGTAAAAAGAGATAGTTTTGCAATTGACCAAACTTTGATTTTTTCGTAAGAAGTTTACTTTTGGAAGTAGACTTCTTAGAGGCTATTTTTGTAATTGACCAATATTGAATTT